ATTTTCTACAGCGCTTTGTTTTAGCAGACTGAGGCAAAACTGTAGTTTCTAGTTTGTATTTTACTATGCTATACTTCAGGTCCTGAGACGACACTTTCTTTGCTGCTGAACCTGGAAGCCTATGAGATAATCCCTGGGACCGTTGCCGATGCCGGAGTGATTCTTTCCATTCACGACTCCAGCGACACGCTTTCGACAGAGTCCACTTCTGGAATTCATTTGGAAGCTGGAAAAGCCGTCACCATACCGATAAATGAAGTCAGAAGAGTGCGTTTTCACTGCTTAAATGATTAAAAGAGATAAAAACAAGAAATAAAACAATCAAAAGTTGCCAGTGTGCAGCATCTGGGAATCCCATCATCAGAGGTGGTTGAATTTGTTGGCTAGGGAGAAGGGAGTGGTCAATGTTATAGGACGAATGTTTTTCATTGGTGGCGTCCACAAGGCTCTTTCTAAAAGGGACACAAACTGCTTTCGAGGACCAATATACGCAATGCTTCAAGCCGTTGTTCCTTCTGTTTCCGGAGCCGTTCAAAATTCCTGTGTTTCAACTGCATACAGGGTACAGCATCGTGATGTGTGAAATGGTGGTGTAGGTACGACCCCCCTCCGAGAGAGGGTGTCAGTACGACCCCCCCCTCACCTAAATGAGGGCCTCGTTACGGCCCCTCCCCGTTCCCGACTCCAAAAATCAACAATCGGAAAATTTTTTCCTTGAAGGCACTACCCCTCCGATCCCCTCCCAACGACTGAGCACAACTCTTCTCCCAGCGAAAAAGTACGACCCCTAATGTGTTTTACGCAACGATGCCGTCCCCATTCCGAACCCTGGCTGCATAAAGCAATGCAGCCAGGGTTCGGAATGGGGTGAATTTGCGGTTTCATTACAACCCCTCCCATGAGAGGGTTCGACCACCTGAGACTGTTGAGTTCGAAATTCGCACTCAATACGGAGCAATTTATTTCTCGGGTACCCGTTTTTTGTACAAAAGGTAACCTTTCTTTGAACGGCCACAACATTGCGAGGGACGAGTATTTGAGAAATGGAAAGCAGGTTTGTAAATCAAAGTGTTAATTATCTCGACTAAACCTTTGCAACATTGTTCTCCTGTTTGACATGTTTTTAATGGGTTTCTGATAAGCGAGTTGGAAACAGAGCACACGCGAGCTTACTGAACTACAATCTTCTGGAAAAAAGCTGTGGACCACAAGCTTTTTCACACTATGTAGTGTTGGCGTATCGACATGTTGGAGGCATTTTGCTGGTCCCCATCGTTCACTGTTGATACCTTTTGTGAAGGCCTAACAGCTGGGCCCTTTCCAGCTCTAATCGTGAAATGTGAAATTGCGCGATAGCGGGAGTTTCGTTTACACATGACAAAGAGCTTCCAGGTTTCACCAAGTGTGACCTGTTATTCGAGAGGAACCAAGAAAAGAAACTAGTGAGCGTGCAAAATGCTCCTTCCAAGGCGCGCTACAACGCCTGGAGGTTTTCATGATTTGAAAGATTATTCATAGTATGCAATCGTTTGCAAAACGAAAGGCATCGGTGTAGTAGACTATCTCCGCTTTTCGGGGCCTAACAACCGTGTTTCCAGGGTTCATAAGGGGTAGGCTCAAAGTGTGACTATTTTCTTCTTGCTCACTCGTCAGTTAGAGAACTTTGCACTTTGCTTACAGCCCCCCTCCTCCAATGGTGTGATTTACAACGAACTAACGACGGTATAGCCTGTCTGCGATGTCATGCAAAGCTCGAAACTGCATTCTGCACAGCTCAAGACTACTGCATCTCAGGGCATCATCGCTATCCCAGCTAACATCTCTCTCAGAATTTCATGACTTGAGGCATTACTGATTCGCATTTTCTTATTTTGCAGCTATCACGGTACCAGGAATACTGCGGTCGTCGTGCTGTCGGTCCATTTTCTGCCGCGCAGTACTCCCGAGCAGCCTGTCAGTGGGTGGCAACAATGGAAGAGATCGAGAAAGCTTGTCGATGTCGTCCTGTCACCAGTCCATTCAATCAAGATTACTTACTGACGGAAAAAATGTCAAGGGCGTGACGAGCACAAGCGTTAATAGAATCACAATCTCTCACGCAGTTTAATCCCCACCCTCACTCATATGAGTTACTGGACAAGTCATTTTGGGGAGGAGTTTACATATTGTTTAGACCCCCAGCAAACGATTGTTATGTTCCAGTTACGTTCCACTTTCGAGTGATTCATTTCTGACACGAATTACAGGAGCTAACAATCTCTCGACTTGTATGGAGGAAGAACATCCACGAGTTAACAGTGCCACATTCAAGTCAGAGAGGAAATCGAATGTGTCTAATACGTGCGTAGCGCTTTTCTTGTTTGTTCTACCTAACCCCAAAAGTGCTGCTTACTTCCAGACTCTTTTCGATCATGCTAACTCATCTTTTACATGTCCAGAAGATTGCGATGAAGTTTCGTTCTCTTCTGTTGTCTTCGGTGGCCGATTGGTAAGATTTCTCCATTGTAACGTAGTGAAAGGAAAAGTTGACTAGTTCTGTCAGCATTCTCCCTTACCATTCAGGTAACGTCTGATTTGACGTCACTGCTGCCAGGCGACTGGGAAGACGTTAAGGAAGCGAAAGTGAACCAATTCCAAGTAAGTTGTAGACCTCATTTTTCCGACATGGGCCTATGAACGACTTCTTTTTATATGAACTATTTTACTAGAAAGTGTGGTAGATAATTACTTTTCGAGTAGATTCTTGAGAAAAAAATGTTTAGCGAGCGATGGATGTGATCCCGAATCATCGCATTCCGGTGGTAAAGGAAGTACAGTTGTTGGCAAATAGCGTTCAAGAGTTCGCTCGACTAGCCATACAAGTATGAAATATCGTACATACCTTTAACCTTTTTATCATTCGCCTTTCCAACTGTCTACTTTTTGAGCTACTTGGAACAACAGGTTCTCTTCAACTCAAATTGCTAAGGTTACTTACGGGGTTAGGACATGCAGTCGGTCAGTCATTAAGATGCGTCACTATAGGTAAACATTTCATCTTTTCTGAGCCAGTGTTGCGCTGACCATATGCACCAGATGCTTACGGTACTGCAACTGCTGGCAACTTAGGCAGCTGCTGAACTTTCTCGTTATAGGAAATTCGAGTTGAAAAATCAATCTCACCCCGCTGTGGAGTCACTTCCAAAAAGTCCTTGCATCATTAGTTGATAGCACACTCGGATACGACGATGTCGAGCTCGCGTCCAGATGCTCGGTCAGTACTTTTAGAAGGAGCGTCCATGCGTCCTCTTTCCCTTATTGGCTGTCCAAGCAGCTGCCCTATTTCGCTGCATCGCGTGTCGCTGAAATCCTAGAGAATCCCTGCCTTTCGCTTGGAACAAGCAGAGCGTTATTAAGGTTTCCGACAGTTTACTTGATTTTTTTCTTCACGGATAATTCAAGCAGCACATACACTGTTGTCTTTCTACTCCACAACGCACGACCTTTTCGACGGCTGATCGAAGGATGTGTCTTTGAGCGAAGGCACAAGTGGTATGCAAAATGAGGGTTCAATTCAGTATCTACTCATTCAGCGCAACCATGGCCTGAGAAGAGGGAAATAGGAAAAGCTGAATGCTCTTGACAAGACTTATTTTGATAAGTCACTGAAAACCCTTGTTAATTAGATCATGGACTCTTTTCCCTTCCCTCTTCAGCAGGCTTTCTGTTGTACAAAATATACAGGCTCCAAAAAGAATGGGTTTCCAGTTCGAAACAGAAAGGCGAGACACCGTCGAATGTGCTTGCCAAAATAATGCGATAAACAGCCTGCGTAGATCTGAATGTGCCCCTCCTTATAGTGGTTGTTCTAGGTATTCTCTCTGATGCCCAACGTGACCACGATCCCTTGCCTAGCTCCAAAAGGGACACGTGACCTGGATCGTGCATTTATTCATTTCAAAACACAGGAACCGATATGGGAACGCATCACTACGTAGGTATTTCTACAATCATTTTTCAAAATTCGTGCTCCAGGGCTACGAGAGCGCTGCGCCGGGCTACGAGAGGGCTGCGCCGAATCTCACGTGGATAGCCAACTAGAGGCGTACTCGCTCCAGGCGCGCTCCTAATTGTTAGTAGTTATTCGCCTGTGATCTACACCAGAACTATGAATATTACAGTAGGAACAGTGCTTTCACATACGCTGTGAACGGTCTTCAAAGTGAGAAAGATAGGGGAAATAAAGAAGAAAAGAAAGAAACATGTAAAATTAGAGATATGTAGAGAAACTTATTAAGGTGGTTCGTTTCGCGTCTTATCCACACGAGCCACTATTGTCATTGCCCCCTTAGGCTCTTCAGTGGATAGGGGGTAATGAATTAGGGTAATTGGGGGAAGAATTCTTATTAAGAGAGAATATCTCTCATCTCGTGCACGTAGCTTTCTTAGACCTGGAGAAGGCATTCGATCGTGTGCCGCGTGATGTTATATGGTACGCTTTGAGGCGGCACGGCGTGCCCGAAGAGCTAATTGAGTGGGTGCGCATCCTTTACTCATGCCCAGGGAGCCAAGTTCGCTCACCAGCGGGTGTCTCAATGGAGTTCCCCATCACCGTCGGGGTACATCAAGGCTCTGCGCTCTCCCCACTTCTTTTCGTTGCCGTCATGGATGCCATCTCACGAGATCTTCAGAAGGAAGTGCCTTGGACCCTGCTTTACGCTGATGATGTGATGCTTGCTTGTGAAGATAAGAGCGCAC